CATTTCCTTCAGTGTTTTATGTTTTACATAAGTTTATCCTTGGTAGGAACTGTTTTATAGAAATCCCTTGTACTCAGGGTTATAGATATGTTCCTTCAAGGTGATTTCAAATTTCCTTGTGCCAGGGCCCCAGGTTTAAAGAATACAGACCCAGTTTCTATGTTAAATTCTTGGTTTGGGTAATGAAAATTTCTCACAAACGATTTTTCTGCTCCTGTCCAGACCCTTGTATAGACCTTTCTTGCCTTGTCTTTGAGCTATGTACAAATTACCCTTTTCATGAACTGGGCAGCCCTTTGAGATTCCAAGTTTGGCACAGGTTCTTGGCTATAGCTCCTAATCTTGTAGGTCCAAAGCCACGCTTGTGACACACACAGCATTAAAATCTGAGCTTCCAGACCCTAAGGTCTACATATAGATTTGACACCAGCCCTGGGCTGCTCAAATAGCTCTGGCTTTTAAGTTTTCACTTTTGTCATCTGAGAGTTCCCTTTTATTCTTTTGAATTCAACTATATTTTTCTGTTTATAATGGGAAAGGGGACCTCATAAGTTCCATCTACCATGTTGCTGGAACCATACTCCCAAATATATTTTGAGACCACTCATTCTTCTCCATCTCTTCTACCATTATCTTAGCGCAAGCCACTGTTCTCTCTCATGTGCCTTTCTTCTACAATGGTCTCCTTACTGGTCATCTCACATCCATTCTTGTCCATTCTTCCCCTGTTCAATTCATATGAAGCACTGCATCCATTGTTTAAAAGCCAGAAATTCAAAAACTGCTAAGTCAGATCATGCTTTTTTTTTTGCTTAAAATCTTTCAGTAGCATAAGACCCAGAAATTCTACTCATAAGAATTTAACCAAAAGAAATGAAACCATATATTCACATAGAACTTGTTTACAAATGTCCATAGTAACATTATTCATAATAGCCAAAAGGTAGAAACTACCCAAATGTCCATCAAGTTATGAATGAGCAAACAGATGTGGTATATATATATCCAAACAATGATTATTACTTATCCATAGAAAGAATAAACTACTGATACACGTTACAATATGGATGAATCTTGAAAACAGTTTTTTTTTTGAGTCAGAGTCTCACTCTGTCACCTAGACTGGAGGGCAGTAGCATGATCACACTCACTACAGGCTCAAACTCCTGGACTCAAGCAATCCTCCCTCCTCAGCCTCCTGAGTAGCTAGGACTACAGATGCCACTACCCCAGCTAATTTTTTTGATTTTTTGTAGAGACAAGGTCTTGCTAGGTTGCCCAGTCTAGTTTCAAACTCCTGAACTCAAGGAATCCTCCCACCTGGGTCTCCCAAAGTGCTGAGATTACATGCATGAGCCACCGCCCCCAGCCAAAAACATTATATTAAGTAAAAAACATCAGTCACAAGAGACCACATTTTTATTCCATTTATAGAAAATGTCCAAAATAAGCACATTTATAGAGACACAAAGTAGATTAGTGGTTGTTTAGGCTTAGTGGGAATGAGGAGATGGGGAGGGGGGATAGCTAAAGGGTACAGGATTTCTCATCAAGGTGATGAAAATGTTCTAAAATTGACTATGATGATGGCTGCATATATCTGTGAATGTAATAAAAATCACTGAATTATACACTTTAAATGGGTGAATCGTATGGTATGTGAATTACATCTCTAAAAAGCAGTTAAATAAAACCTTCCAGGGGCTTATCGGTTCATCATGGTTCTTAGCATATAAATCCAAAATCCTTATCACTGCTATAAGATATTGCGTGTGTGTGTGTGTGTGTGTGTGTGTGTGTGTGTGTGTGTGTGTCTCCTACCTACCACTCCTCAACCTTCATCCTAGACCTCTTTCCCTAATTCTCTGCACTTAGTCACAATGCCTTCTTTCAGTTTCTCCAGAGCACTAAGCACCTTCCCACCTTACATCTTTTCAATCGTCATACTTTCTGCTTAGAATGCTCATTCCCTTCTCTTCACCTAGCTTTTACTTAAACAGCAGATCTCAGTTTGAACAGCATCACATCCTTATGAGGGCCTTCTCTAATCTTCCAAAAGAGATGTCTTTTTTTTTTTTTGAGACTCTGTTATCCAGGCTAGAATGCAGTGGTATGATCACAGCTCACTGTATCCTTGAATCCCTGGATCCAAGCATTCCTCCTGCCTCAGCCTCCCAAGTAGCCAGACTACAGGGAATGCCACCATGACTAGCTAATTTTTTTGTGAAGATGAGGTCTTGGGCTGAGGCCAGTAGCTCAAGTCTGTAATCACAGCACGTTAGGAGTCTGAGGTGAGAGGACTGCCTGAGCCCAGGGGTTTGAGACCAGCTGGGGCAACTTGGCAAGACCTTGTCTCCACAATAAATTTTTAAAAAATTAGCCAGGCATGGTGGCATGCACCTGTAGCCTGTAGTTCCAGCTATTCCATATATTCACAGGATGAGACAGAAGAATCACCTCAGCCCAGCAGGTCGAGGCTGTGGTGGCAGTGAGCATGTCACAGCACTCCAGCCTAAGTGACAGAGTGAGAATCTGACTCAAAAAAAAAAAAAAAAAAGATGGGGACTCACTATGTTACCGAAATGAATCTTGAACCTCAAGCAATCCTCCCACTTCAGTCTCCCAATGTAGTGGCATTTCAGGTGTAAGCTGCTATGCCTGGCCAAGAAAGGAAGTCTGTAGGCAGATGTTCTGTAACACTATCATAACAACTCATACTGCTTCTTTATTGTATATATAGTATATACAGTATACAAGTATAATCATTTAACACTTGCCTTCTTAACTAGCATATATGTTTCCCATAAGCACAGAGCATATTCATCTGGCTCACTAATGTATAACTGGGTTTATCATAGTACCTAGCAACAGCAGGTGCTGAATAAATATTCTGAAAAATGAATGAATACTAGAGCATATCAAATGACTGAAACCAACAGTTTTTTATCTAACATCTCCCTGTTTATTTATCTTGTGCCATCCCTAAAATGCACTTATCTTGACCTGTACTTGATACACTACACATTTACCTTATAATTCTCTAATATATTGATTTAATTCTTTGATTCATATATCCGCTAACCTAAGGAAATAGCCTATATGGTACATAGCAGGTGCTCAATCAATATTTGTAGATTGAATAAAACATTTAAAACAAAATCTATAGCAAGTACTATCTTACTGATCTTAAGTTATAAAATTTCCAGAAGGCAGTAGCCATCTAAGTTTCTCTAAATAACAGTTCCTGAAACTAGATATTCAATAATGCAGTTTGATAAAGCACTTGATTTCACTAACCTTTGGGATCATATTTATGATTAACTTAATTCATTTTAATTCTCTCAGGTCAGAAAGGTTTTTTAAAGCAAATTTTTTTTTGGCTAATGAAGATTATTTTTGCATTTAGTTTCTACATAAAATTAGCAGTATTTAAAACAGCTGAGCTACTAAATATATAAGCATTGGGCGGGTATGGTGATTCATGCCTGTAATCCCAGCACTTTAGAAGGCAAATGCAAGAGGATTGCCTGAGCCCAGAGGTTCAAGACCAGTCAGGCAACTTGGTGAGACTCGTCTCTACAATAAATTTAAAAAATAATAATAAGTAAACAGGCATGGTGGTGCACACCTGTAGTTCCACTACTTGGAAGGCTGAGGCAGAAGGATTGCCTGAGCTCAGTAGGTCGAGGCTGCGGGATCCACGAGTGTGCCACTGCACTCCAGCCTGGGTGACAGAGACTTCAACTCAAAAAAAACCAAAACTAAAAACAAAAACCAAGCATTAACAATTCAAGACTAATTTATTAATATTTCCTTGGCTGGAGGCCAATTTAAAAAGGAAAATTGCTGGCTCTGAAACTTGTTAGCCCAGAAAATTGGTTTTCTTCAATTTTTATGAAAAGAAATTTTAAAAATAAGGAAAGAAATGAAGAAAAATATTATTTTCCAACTCAATATCTCCCTTAACTTTCTTCTCAAAATATGTCTTTAGACACATTATATAATTAGAGCTGTCCTTATAATAAACAAACATATAAAAAGTTTAACCCATATGGAATCTTGTAGATGATTTTTTTCCTTACTATAAATACATAAACACAAATGTAAAATCTTCTTCCTTTGGATATTCAAAATAATATGAAGTCAAACTGAAATCTAAATTGTGACAATACTTCACCTGTTTTTCTAGTCTTAAGAAGTGATAATTATAGCCTTAGTCTTTAAGTAGAACTGAAACTCCCAAATGGAGTCCATTCTATTTCTTACACTTCCTCAAAGTAGGAGAAAATGGCACATTCTCCCTTGGTCACAACTTTCAAAGTCTCTCTTAATCCTCACAATCAAAATGTTCTTCCTAGCCTCCACCTTAAATCTTGCCTATATCCATTCACAACTGTTCTCTCATAACTTCTTTCTAAATAAATTACAGAATAGTGTAGTGAGTCACTGTTCTACTATATCATCACACATACTATTCATTTCTTTTTCTGGTATTCTTCTCAAATTAAGTAAAACTTTATATCTTTTAAATAATTAAAACTTTAGCTCTATTTCTTTGAGCCTTTTATCATACTATTACTTTTCTTTGCTGCCAGGAATCACCATAGACTGTCCGTAACAAACAAAAGATTCTTCTCTTTTGTGATAGGTTCTCTATCACAAAATGCAGGCATAATGCCTAACAACTGTCTCTATCACAAGAAGAATAGAAAAAAGATATGCCTGTACCCATAAAAGAATAAATATCTATGTAAATAATGAGAAATAATTGCTACCTCCCACCAAAAATCACCCAAAGGCAAAAGACAGAACAGTAATATATATTTTCATACATGTATTTGAAATTGGTGAATAGACCTACACCTAACTCCTTTATATTCTACCTCAAAGCAAAACCCTGCAAATGAAATCAGTGACCTAACATACCTCCTCTTCTCCCTGGCTTCCACAGAAGGGTCTGTTCCAGTAGTGGAGATCACAGTGGTGGTTGTAACCCCATTGGCAGTGCTAGGTGGAGGACGATTGGTGATCACACAGAGCGGGGTGCTAGAAGAGACATTGTCTGCTGTTTTCTCTGCTGCTGAGTCTGCCTGGGATTTGTGAGGAATCCTGAAATCAAAAAAGACAGCAGAAAGAGAATGGTTAGGCGTGCTACACAACAAAGCACTGGCACAGAGACAGAAGGGTTAGAGAGAGATTTAACTAGGGAATCTTCTTGCTCAGATTTTATTTGTTGGTCTGTTTTAAAATTTTGAGTTCTTAAATCTTGGAACAGTATGATTACACATGTAGTCCAACATCCTTTGCCTGGGGAGTTATATTTTATGAGATGTCTTTTCCCCCTGAGATCAAAAAAACAAAAATCATCAACTATGGCACAAGGCAAGATAATAACATATGCACAAGTGCTTTAAATGACTCCCCAGTAGCATCTGGTCTCCACACATGCACACGGAGACAGGGCCTCCCTTACACATGAAAAAGACGCTAAAGTCACTTACGATATTAGTCTCCACCTGTTCCTTAATCCTTGGCAGTGGGAATCTTTGTGGTAGTACTCAGCCTAGATTTGATGATCATCTTCTTGGAATTATCCAGAGACAACTGATAAATACTCTACAACCTCAGTATGTTTAGTGCTCCCTCACCTAGTTCAGCAACTGCTCTCTTTCCATCGAACCAAATGCCTAATTGTCTATATTCATAACTGCATAAGTGAGAAACTGAAATAAAACCGAACAGGGCTTTGTAAGTAGTCTTAACTACAGACATTTCAACAGCAAGCTGTATAATTAAATCCATTTACATGAAAACAAGATCTTTGTTTCTTAACAAAGACTTGGGAGCAACCATTGGCTCTCAACCCAAAAAGCTATCATTTGTGATGTCACAGCTGTTGCTGGGGTAACAGAGATCCAAAATTGATACAGAGATTGGGGAAAGCAATGAAAAACATGATTGTTAAAAATCTGTTTCTTTCACCTACTCACAATTGTTACCAGAAATGTTCACAAGTAGCTATAAGCTTACTTCCAAACAGTCACATTATAAGTTTGAAAAAAATAATCATAACATAAAAATCTAAATATGGTACCTAGATACAAACATGAAAATAGAATAATTTTAAAGCTGCAAGTGGTATCTAAAAAATAAAAGCTACTTCTTCAGAAGCAATTAATGACTCAGAAAAAAGGTGAAATTTTACATTCCTTTTTTAATTAAAAAAAAAAAAAGACAATTCCTCGGACAAGATTTGAGTCTATAGTAAGTACTAATAAAATTAGCCAGTACACAGCTATAAAAAATTACACTTATCAAATCTTACCGAAGTTCTTTTTAGGTTAATAACATGTTTTGGTCTCACTACAATTTCTTATGCTATAGAAATGTCAAGGATTTCATTTTATTAAGTTATATAACAAAATTTTCACTATTATTTTGAAATGTGGTATAATTTTATAAGTAGATTTTAGGAACAAAATAGGAAAAGCTCTAGAGCAGGGATCAGAGACTATACAATGGAGTAGAATAATATGGGCTCTGAAACCACTTGGGGCTAAGCTTAAGCCAATCTAACTTCTCTGATCTCTTTTTCATCTGTAAAATGGGGATGATGGACAGGGCATGGTGGCTCAAGTCTGAAATTCCAAAACTTTGAGAGGCCAGGGAGAGTGGATTGCCTGAGCCCAGGGGTGCGAGACCCGCCTGGGCAACTTGGTAAGACCTCATCTCTACAATGGAAAAAAAATCAAAAAATTAGCTGGGCATGGTGGCATACGCCTGTAGTTCTAGCTACTTGGAAGACTGAGGCAGAAGGATCACCTGAACCCAACAGGTAGAGGCTGCAGTGGCCTTAAGCGTGCCACTGCACTCCAGCCTGGGCGACAGAGTGAGACTCCTACTTAGAAAATAAAATAAAATAAAACAGTGATAATGATACCTTAAAATACAGGGTTCTTGTAATGATTAAAATAATATATGTAGAACACCTAAACTAGTGACTAGAATAAAATATAAACTGTGGAAACAAAATACTGACAAAACAGACGAGAGTTTTGAAATGGACAAATCTGGGTTCAAATTTTACCTCAGTTGTGTGACCTACTACTAGCTGTGTGATCTCGGGCAGATGATTAAGCTTCTGGTCAGAGTTTCCCCATCTATAAAATAATATTTCAGGTCGGGCTTGGTGGCTTAGTCTGTAATGCCAGCACTTTGGGAGGCTGAGGTGAAAGGATTGCCTAAGACTACAGGTTCAAGACCCACCCAGGCAACTTGGTGAGACATCGTCTCAATAATAAACCAAAAATTAGCCAGGCATAGTAGCACAATCCTGTAGTTCCGGCTACTTGGAAGGCTGAGGCAGAAGGATTGCAGGAGCCCAGCAGGTCGAGCTGCGGTGGCCAGGAGCATGCCACTGCCCTCCAGCCTGGATGACAGAGTGAGACTCCAATTTCAAAAAAAAAACAACTAAATAAATAAAATAAAATAATATTTCATATACTGAGGAGGTCATTATGAAACTACAAATAATCTATGTGTGCCTGAGTTAGCTAGTTGTCTAATCCATATCCATTGTCCCTTTCTTCTTTACTAATAGAATCCCTGTATTATTAAGGGTAGCAATGTATCTAGTTAAAAATCTATATTTCTCAAAGTTTTCCCGGCCACTAGAGCTATCCAGTGAAGCATATGTAGACAACTAGTACTTCTGGAAAAATTCTCAGTTCAAAGGCATTCCCCTCTTTGCCTGCTTTCTCCTTTCCTCCTTCTTACTACCTAGAATACAGCCATGATAGCTAGAGCTCATCTGTTACACTGGACTATAAGGCAACCTATGGAAATAGAAGCCATGATGTAAGAATTGTGGAGCGCCGGGCTCAGTGGCTCAGCCTGTAATCCCGCGCTTTGAGAGGAGGCCGAGGTGAGTGAATTGCCTGAGCCCGCAGATTCGAGAGCTGCCTGGACAACTTGGTGAGACCTCATCTCTACAATAAATCAAAAAATTAGCCGGGTGTGGTAGCGCGTGCCTGTAGTTCCAGCTACTTGGAAGGCTGAGGCGGAAGGATCACCGGAGCCCAGCAGGTTGAGGCTGCGGTGGCCGGGAGCAGCCACTGCACTCCAGTCTGGGTGACAGAGTGAGACTCCAGCTCAAAAAAAAAAAAAGAATTATGGAGCAAAAAATAACTTGAATCCTTAAACAGTTCTGAAGCTACTGTGCCAGCCCTGCCTATTTCTGGACTTTCTTAAGTACAAGGAAAAAAATAAACCTTCATCTTATTCAAGCCACTATTATTTGGATTTATTGCTATGTGTAAACCAGATCCCAATATAATTTTTGTACAGTACTAACCTGTTACATAATGGGGTTCAATAAATGGCAACTATAATTATTTTCCCCCAGTTTTACTTCTTAATAGTTACTCAAATAACTTCTCTGTGTTTCAGTTTCTTCATCTATGGTGATAATATTTACCATGTCTGTGCAATTGTATTATTATGAGTATCTAATAAATGTCTCCATAATTATACAGTATTACTATCATAAACCCATCCATCATAAATAAATAAATAATCCATCATAAACCCATCATTCTTGGCTGAATTAATGATAGTCATTTATTTTAGGGAAAGAAATTTAGCAAACTGGCAAACATCAATCAAGCACCATCATCACTGGTATTCTTGCAGCAACACTACCATTATTGATGTTTCTTCATTTCCTTTGTGCCAGTTGTAGAAACAAGACCTTAAAAAGGAGACCTTTTCCCATACTCCAAAGCAAAAATGTCTCTGACTACACATAAAGGAGTAAAAACCACAGATAAAACTACAGCTAAAGTCCTAATGTACTTTTCACAATGACATTCTACCATGCTACCCCTTAGATGAACTAGAAACCAAGAAGATACTGTTCCCAGAACACAGTATAGAGAAACACAAATCTCTCCCTTCTCACAGCATTTGCTGTAAAACACTCTCGTTGGCTGGGAGTTTTCAAAATGCTATAGGAACTTTCCCTTCTGCTTTGGGTGTGCATGCTATTTTCCAAAAAGACTAAATACAAGAGATTCCTACTCATAATTACTGGAAAATTAATACAAGTAAAATATGGAAATATATTTAATATTTAATTTACCAGATCATATAACCCTTAAATTATAAAAACAACTGGTAAGTTTGTTGAGAGATACAAGCAGTCATATTAAGTTGACAACCAAACACCAAGTACAATAATATATACCCTATGATAATTCACTAAGCAACTATTGACTGGTTAATCAAAGTCAAAGCAAATGATCCTCATTAAATTTCAGACATTTTCACAGGAATTCAAATTTGCTTCCACAATGACAAAGGCTCTTTGGTTCAAATCTCGTATGTGTTTCCAGAGGCATTAACTTCAATGAATTCAACTCAAATGGCTCCAAGAAGCCTTACCTGCCATGGTGTACAGATGCAGTAGTGTTTGTACTGATTGGTGCAGGGCAAGAAGAGGCAGGTTGCCACTGGCTGCCCTGAGAGGTAGATGAACCAATGGCAATGGGTGAGGTAGCAGGAGATGAATTGCGATTGGCTGAAATGTAGGGACTTGTGGGGTCACTACTTCTACCAAATGAAGCACTGCAAAACAGCACACAGTCACTTTCTTCAGGACATGCTGCTCACCCACCATTTCCCAGCACCACCTTCCCACCCAGAATGTGCACTTAAAAGGAATGTAGAACAAAGAAAAGGTATGACAACTGGGAAGTGTAGTGATCAATTCCAGCTAGTGCTGGGTCACTGGCAGCAAGCAGGCAATCATCCAAAAGAGTGAAGGAATCCTCACTCTTTAAAAGATGAAAAGATCATCCAAAAGAGTGAAGGAACATGTAAGAGAGATGATACTGAATGAGGGAAAGCAGCAAAGTAGAACATATGACAAGAGTAGAGGCTAAGAAAGGGAAATAATAGGAAATATAATAATTTTATTAGAAAAAGTAATTCCCAACAAACCCAAGACAAAAAAAAAATCATGCAACCCCAAATGTCTACTTGATATAGAAATAGTACTGCAAAAGCTAAAGTAAGACCAGAGAATTTGGAGAGGTTTTGGAGAAGAGATTTAAAATTAAAAAGTGGAGAAGAATAAAGAAGCTCTGTGGAAAATAATTTTGAGAATTATAGTTATTTAGCCTAAAGCAAAACTGCCTTTGGGAGAATTTAAGATCTTAAGTCTAGAAAGTAATATTGTATGAGCAATAAAAGGCAACTTTTCTTTGTTTCAACTGAAGACAGGTAAGAATCATCTCAATTGCAACAAAAAATTGTTTTGGTTAAAAAAATTTTTTTTTTTGAGTTGGTAAAATTTTAAAAATACTTCTTTACTATAATAGAAATGAGACACTTTAGGGAGTGACCAAAAAAAAAAGCTATGAAGTCTTCTTTGAAAAAGAGGTATTTATTGGGCCATATGAAAGGAATTTCTGCTTAAAGACAAGAGATGAACTAGAAAATGGAAAGTATACCAAGTTTTGGCATTGCCAGGAAATGATCAATTTCTCCTCACACTTGCTCTTTTAAATGGTGATGGCATATGATTCTTTCCTCTTGAAAAGATCATAAGGTAGACTTCTATAAAATAAAAAGTGCTTTGGCTATAGAAGAGCTTTGGAAATCCAAGGTATAAAACAAGCTATAGACCTTTTCTCAAAAAGTGCTCACGTCATTAAGCATGCTTTTGATCCTAAATAGAGGCAGTCCTTCCCTCTTCTGTTTACCGTAACTTTCCAAACTACATCTATCAAACCAAATGTTTCTCTCTCAATGCATTTGCTCATGATTTGAATCATGAAAATCAACAAATTAACCACAGAATAATTCCATGCCTGGAAACTTAATGGCAGCTTTTTCCCTTTCCTACCTTTAGAACACTATTTTCTTAGAAAAGTTTTCTTGCTCTTGGATTCAACCAAAAGGAATAATAAAATAATGTTTCTAGGTAGACCAAGGCCTTAGCCATTAAGACAAATAGGCGATCGTCTCAGAAAACCCAAAATACCTGGCTTGTATAACACATCAGTGAGATCACTGAACTGCACTTGCATACGTTTAAAGTTGAGCATTTTCTCACAGGATGTATCTGTAGAACTGAAGTACATTAAAAGGCAACAGTGGTTGTTTTATAGCTTACTATTTCCCATGGTCCAACATTAACTAGTGAACAAGTCTTCCTGTCAAGTGGAAATAAGTTTTGATCACAAGAGCTAACATTCTCATATAGTCTACAGTCAAGGCCTATTTCTAAGGTAACCACCCAATTATCTAAAATACCTAATGATGAAGGCTATGGTGTGAGAAGACAGTTGGAGGGGATAAGAGAAAATGAAGAAAGAATTCAAAGCAAGCAATGAAAAACAGATTCTTCCACATCAGCCGCAAAGTTCAAATTAAATATTAATTAAGTATATTTTGTAGCTTAATGGCTCTAGCAAAGGTGCTTTGTTTGCTGGCTAGTACGTGGCAAAGAAAATAACTGCAGAAAAGGAAACACAGATGAGAAAAGAGGAAGGAAACCCATGTACCTTCTCTGCACCAAACTTGCGAGTTTCACATCTTGATGGATCTGAGGGCCATTAAAGTCATAAAAAAAAAAACAACTCAAGTCCCTAAATTAACAGGCTTCAATATGAAACTTCTTTAATGCAATTGAAAACTGTCCCCATTTCCCACCCCTTATCATCTTACAGCGTCCCTCCCTTCCTCCCCGTAAAATATAACTTGAGATGAAAACTACTCTAATTTCAGAATAAGGAGAACCAGCTACTGGACAAGGATGATTTAGATTCAGTCTTGCCCAGAGATCACTAGAAGTAACTTCTGATTGAAGATTTTAATAGGACTGAAAGGAAGAAGTATAAAGTCAGATTTGTAGTGAGAATCTGAAATTAGCTTACTTTAATTCTGTTAAGAGAATTAATTTTAATTTTAAATTAGTCAAGATGTTAATTCCAAGAAATCTAAAAGTTATTCATTTTTTTATTCATTTCTGTAGTGCTAATTGGATATTAAAAGGCATGCAATTATTACCTATATTCCCATGGCCAGAGTGAAGGAAAGTTATGTCCCACCCCTTTGAGTCTGGTACCTTTTCAAATAGGTTGATACATAGGTAGAAGGAGCAATTGTCTGTGGGGTTTCATTTCCCTTTGCTTCATCCCTCCATAGCTGCCGGGTATAGGAGCCACTTCTCACTAGGTTAACAGCTGATTCTCTGTAGAGGCATGAAAGAAAAACAAAACACTGATTCCTACCATTAATTTTTGTCCATGATACAATGCAAACAGGGAGACAAGCGCCAGATAAACGGTAACATGGCCAAAGAAATAGATATATTTTTCAGGTAATTCTCTGATTTATATGTCTGTCTCCTGTATAGATGATGAGCAAGTATTACTATGTGCTTTCTTTCTTTTTTTTTTTTATTTATTTATTGTAGAGATGAGATCTCGCCAAGTTGTCCAGACTGGTCTCGAATCCGTGGGCTCAGACAGTCCTCTCACCTTGGCCTCCCAAAGTGCTGAGATTATTGGCGTGAGCCACCGCACTCAGCCTTGCTTTCTTTAACTTCAAAACCAGCTAATTTCAACAGATACCAAATTCCTTATGTCAAAGATCTCTAACCCTTTTGTAATGAGAAGACACTTTGTTCCTTATTTTAAAAGTTTCTTGTGGTCAGGTACAGTAGCGCTGACCTGTAATCTCAACACTTTGGGAGGGTAAGGAAGGACGATCGTTTGAGGCCACGAGTTCAAGACCAGCTTGGACAACATAGCAAGACCCTCTCCTTTCAAAAAAAATAAACTGCCCTGAAATCAGTCCCAAGTAGTAGGTGGCTCAGAAGTTAAGCAGAGAAGGGGATGTTGGAAAAGATGAAGGCGATTACCAGGAAAAGAAGCTATTACAGAGAGGAAAGGACTTGCTGGAAGCCTCTTTAGCATTATAAAAATGAAAATTTTTCCTGGAAGGTGCGATAGTAGGATTTTTAATTCATAATTGATAACTCAGTGTCTTTGCTACAAAAGTTAAGGGTCTCCATGCTTCACAAGGTTCTCTAGAGCAGTCATTCTCTTTATTTATTTATCTATTTATTTATTTATGAGTTGGAGTCTCACTCTGTCATCCTGCTCCCGGCCACCACAGCCTCAACCTGCTGGGCTCTGGCGATCCTTCCACTTCAGCCTTCCAAGTAGCTGGGACTACAGGCATGCGCTACCACGCCCAGCTAATTTTTCGATTTATTGTAGAGATGAGGTCTCGTCAAGTTGCCCAGGCGGGTCTTGAACCCGCGGGCTCAGGCAATCCACTCACCTCAGCCTCCCAAAGCATGGGATTACAGGCTGAGCCACCGAGCCCAGCTAGAGCAGTCATTCTCAAACTTTAATGTGTATTTTATACCTAGGTAATTTTGTTAAAATGCAGATTCTAACGCAGCATGTCTGGGGTAGGGCCTGAGATTCTACAGTTCTAACACCTTTCCAGATGATGCTGATGCTGCCAGTTGGAGGACCACATCTTGAGAAGAAAGGTACTAGATCACATTCTTTCCTGAGATACAGCAGTACCTCAAAATCCCATACTTACTTTAACTAACTAGGAAGATGCTACTTTTATCTACTGACAAATTGTAAGTTGATCAATTCAATTAAATAACATTTTTAGTGTTTACTATGTGAGAGTCACTGTGCTAGGCACAGTGAGAAAACAGATAGATATAGACTCTACTTTTACAAAGTCTGTTGGTGTGCCCAAACAAATTTACACTCAGAAAGGTCAGGGAAGACTTCCTAAAGACAATATGTCTAAGCTGAAATTAGAAATTGAAGGATAAAGAATTGGCAAAGTAAGCCTATAAGGGTTGAGAGGTATTCTTTTTTATGTTTATTTTTTTGAGTTGCAGTCTCACTCTTGTTGCCCAGTCTGGAGTGCAGCAGCACATTCATAGCCACCACAGCCTTGGCCTGCTGGGCTCAGGCGATCCTTCTGCCTCAGTCTTCCAAATAGCTGGAACTACAGATGCACGCCACCATGCCCGGCTAGTTTTTGTGATTTATTGTAGAGACAAGGTCTCAACAATTTGCCCAGGCCGGTCTTGAAACCCTCGGCTCAGGCAATCCTTTTGCCTTGGCCTCCCAAAGTGCTGGGATTACAGGCTGAGCCACTGCGACTAGCCGAGAGGTAGTCTAAGAAGGAGGAACAAGTAATTCATAATTTTAAGGAAACCTAAGAAAAAGAGGCAGGGGAGGAGTGGCCAGGAGATGACTATACCCAGCAGAGCTAAAGAGGACTAATTTTTGGCCTGTATTAGAATTACCTGTTCTCTTTTTCTTCAATATCACTTGTGCTGTTGAGCTTTCGGGGTGCTAGTGAACTCAAATAGCTTTTGTTTTCTCTCTCCTGTAAAATAAAAAGAGTAAAGCACAAGGAAGTTACAATACAGACACGGTATTAAACATTTCAAGTAAAAAAGCAGAACTTAATATAACTAATCTTATTTCCAAAATCAACACCAATTCCATCTTGAGTGGCGTTATAAAAGGTTAGCTTTCAAAAAGCCTATTCCTACATTTCCTTCATTAAGAACCGTATGTAGGGAAATAATTCTCATGGAAAAAGTCAGGATGATCAAATAAGGAAAACAGCAACACAAATTTCACAAAGCAGTAGCTCTGCCGAGAGAGACGGAGGCTTTGAAAAGCCACAAACAGAAAGCTCCACTCTAATGTTCTTGATGAAATAAGTCTTATGTAGTCCACAGCATATCTTTTCCTTGAAATGTAGCTTCCTTTGGGACACGCACAATAAATGTGCTACAGAGTTAATCCAACCAATATGCTTCATCTCTTTGAGTAGTCTCCAAAAATGCAATATAAAGCAAGAGGACTATAATTATAAGGAAGAACTGACCACAAAGAAAAGTACTAAGTGAGCCCTATAAAATCTGGAACCAAAAATGAGGAAAATAAAAAATTTACTCATCTTGAATGAATACATAGAGGAACTGTTTGTGAAGTTAGCCTGACCATATTAATTTTTTTTAGAAAGTTAAAAAAAAATTCTAAGTGCTAATTTGCCTGGGCTTCATTAGAATTCAAAGCCTAGCTAGAAACTTTGCTTCTAAAAATCAAAAGAAGTTTCTGGTATTGGTTCAGAAGAACCTTTAAGGCCATAACCAAATTTTCATGCTTCTGATTCATTTTTTTGCTATAGGTAAAGGGGTAAGGAAGAATGAACATGAGGTAAGCCAAAAGGAAAAGCTATTTTTAAAGCATTTTTTCTTTTACTGACCAAGCAAATAATAGCAAGCAAATAACTACTTGATTAAACTATCAATGTGCCTGTCTCCCTTTAAAGGACTGTATTTTCAGAATCAACTTAAGGATGAGAAAATATTTGCATTTCTTTCCAGGGCTACATTTTCATGGAAGAAAACTACCTTGGAATTCCCCCATACTCTGCCCAAACTACCTTATCTTTGTTGTCCAGCAGAGCAGAAATTCGAGGGCTTGAAGAGGAACGGTAGATGGAAGAGCCTCGGTCCCTTAGAGCTTCCCTGGAATTGGCCACCTCACTTAGCATGTTGTGGCTGCCAGTTTTTCTGAGTCCTAGTCTCCATGAAGAAGGAGATTCATCTTTGGGCTCTTCTGGTTTGTTAAAAAGGCTAGAAGAGAACTATGAGGAAATCAAATAAAAGAAAAAGAAAGGTACTGATGATTCTTTCTCAGCCTATTTGCCTTTTCCATACTTAACTAAGTTCAGAGAGGCAACATAAGGTAATACAAGAAGAACAAATACATGGAAGACTTCCTGTCAATGTTCTCTTCCTCACCTAGCAAATGCTAATAACCTCTCAAGGCTCTCTTTCTTCCTAGGCCAGAAATAGCCTCAGATTCTTAACACAATGCTCCTATATTTGACAGAGTTGTTCTAAGAAATTAAACACCATTTGCTCTCTCTTGCAATTAGTACTGACCTAGTGCGCTGGGAGATTGTGTTCTAGTAATACATCTTCTCTTGACTCACTGTGTAACTGAAAATAAGATATTTCACTTCTCTATGTTTCAACATGTTTATCTATAAAATGATGATAATCAGCTTATTTCCTTCCTCCTTATATGTAGAGACAGGAAAAAAAACAAGACAGGCTAATTTATAAATATTTTACTCAAATTCTAATTGCTCATTTCAAAAAAATTTATTTGATCTAGGACAGTTGCAAGATTTTAAGGTTTCACTGATCAGCAAATTAAAAAAGAAAAAAGTTAGAAGGTAAAGAGGTACTATCTTGTTTATTTTGACAAAAAAGAACATCTTTTTTTGAACAATTCACCATCGTTCCACTAAAAGAAGAAATTTTAATAGTAGAAAAAAAACTTTATGGAAAGGTTGCATTGTCTTTAATTATCTCATTTTGCCATAAACCAAGGAACATTATAGACTAGGATTAGCCCAAGGGCCAGTCTGGGGCATAACTTTGTGTTTGGAAAATAAGCCAACAACTCCATCCTGAAGTCTAGGACCTCAGAATGCAAGAAGGCTTGGGTCTTTCTCCCAATACCAGGACACCTTTACTAACCAGTATAGTGAAAATCAATAAAAATGTTAAATCACTCATCTCCAACTCACAGTCAGATTTTCTCTTTTCATTAGTCATTACACATTTACATACTCCTTCCAGCTTTAGAGGCTCAATCATGTCAGCTTTTTACAGGCTACCTGATTCTAAGGGGAAAAATGCCTTTCCTAGCATAAGCATACGTCTATGTTTGTAATTTTTTTTTGTTTAAAATATTTCATTTAAAAAAGAAGAAAGTTTAGTCATCCCCAAAAGCAGTAGGCGTATATAAAGGTACAACTAAATGACTGGATAATGACTGCGAATTGCATTCTATTTGAAACCTCTTTAACAAATCACAATAATGCTTCTAAGAATAAGTAAGCATGGCTCAGCCTGTAATCCCGTGCCTTTGGGAGGCTGAGGTGAGTGGATTGCCTGAGCCCGCGAGAACTCGCCTGGCCAATTTGGCGAGACCTCATCTCTACAATAAATCAAAAATTAGCCGGGCGTGGTAGCGCACGCCTGTAGTTCCAGCTACTTGGAAGGCTGAGGCGGAAGGATCGCCGGAGCCCAGCAGGTGGAGGCTGCGGTGGCCGGGAGTGGCCACTGCACTCCAGTCTGGGTGACAGAGTGAGACTCCAACTCAAAAAAAAAAAAAAAAAAAGAATAAGTAAGCAACCAGGCCTTTGTTCCCTCAGTTTCACAAGGATACCATAAGCCCATCTTTCCAATTCATGAGGTGCTAAGAAGAACAATAAGCTAACATCTGTAAAACCAGAACTTTTTCGACAGCTTCATTCCAAAGAACTGAGATCAATTCTTAATCTCAGAACTAATTTTATACTTTGTAGAGTCATCATTCAACTCTATCTCACTGACTAGAAGCCTACAGATTCTCAGAGGCCTGCACAAAGTTGCAGAAGGAGGTATCTCTGATATTTCAATAAGTTCTTTCTAACTGCCCTCTACCCATCTTGAAGTATAAAGACTTTATTCATAAAAGTAAAGTTTTAAACCGGGCTCGGTGGCTCAGCCTGTAATCCCGCGCCTTTGGGAGGCTGAGGTGAGTGGATTGCCTGAGCCCGTGGGTTCGAGACCCACCTGGGCAGCGAGACCGCATCTCTACAATAAATCAAAAAATCAGCCGGGCGTGGTAGCACATGCCTGTAATACCGGCTACTTGGAAGGCTGAGGCAGAAGGATCGCCGGAGCCCAGCAAGCAAGGCTGCGGTGGCCGGAAGCAGCCACTGCACTCCAGTCTGGGTGACCGAGTGAGACTCCAACTCAAAAAAAAAAAAAAAAAAAGTAAAGTTTTAAAGGAAAATAGAAAAATGAGAATAGTTATCAAAAACAATTAATGCTGGATGCTACTTACCTTCCTAGCCCAGTCCTAACTTTACATATAACTATCTTAACTTTAGATACAAAGAAAATAGGCAAATTAAATCTCTTTGGTCCCAGACTACTCTATCTTACGTTCTCTTAACACATCATAGTCAAATTTGTTTGGTGATGGTCTTACGGGTTTCTTTGAGCAGTGTTATGGACTGACTATTTGTGTATCTTCCAAATTCATATATTGAAAAATTAGTCCTTAATGTAACTATATTTGGAGACAGGACCTATGGGAAGTGATAAAAGTTAAATGAGGTCAAAAGTGTAGGCCATAATCCGATAGGGCCTATAAGGAAACAAAGAGACACCAGAGTTCACTCTCTCTGTCATGTTAGGACATAGCGGGAAGACAGTTGTCTTCAAGCCAGGAAGATAGCCCTCACCAGGAAATGAATTGGCTGGAACCTTATTTGGGACTTCTCAGCCTCCAGAACTATGAGAAATAAATTTCTGTTGTTTAAGTCACCCAGTCCATGATATTTTTTTATGGAAGCAGACCATGATAGGCAGGAATATATCTTTACTGTTTTGCAAAAATGTACCTTTAAGGCCTTTCTAAGTGTTATTACAGTAGGGTGAAATAAAATACCCAAATTAATTCCAAAGTACTCACTCTCCTAGCAGAGGAGGCAGAGAAAGTATTCTGAGCTGGTGTTGGTATCTGCTCCGTGACACTACTCTTGTTTTCAGAGTTGGAATGGTTGACAATGGCTTCTGGCTTTTTATCTGTTATTTAAAAGAAGAGAAGTAACAAGTGCAATCTTATTTTTGTGTATATGTCCTTTTCAGCTAATAGAAAAGATTTGCCCATTATCAAAACAGATGACTGGGGTCATGTAAGGCTTGGATGCAAACTACAAAATCTCTAGCAACTGTTGGCAGAAGAAAACAAAATTAAGGGTATTTCATATGGTAGGTTTTTCAGTCTTGGAAGTCTCTAAGTTCAACTTTCAGACAAAAATTGAAAACTATCTCCACATTATTAGTTATATCATATATAAAATCTATCTACAATCTCTCCCTTGGATATCTCATGCTTTTCCACAATTTTATCTTTCACAACTCATAAAGATAATTTCCACTAGGTCCCTAACACTACTCTGAAGAGTCCCAGATCAAAGTCAGGATCTCAGGCATGTCACTTGCCAGCTATGAAATCTAATTTACCTAAGTTCCTGCAGTGCCGATTTCCTATTCTAAAAAGTGGTGATAATAATATATACCTCAGGATGTGGTTGTGAGGATTAAATAAAATGTTTTCGAATGTTGCAAGGTAAAAAGTACTAAAAAGTAAAGTTTTATTATAATTCTCAGAACTATATATAATCTTTCTTACTAGTGAATATCATTAACTGCATTTATCTCTCTCGTGTGACATGTATTTTATTTATGTGTATGCCCTTCTATTCCCCTTCTAGATATAGTCAACAAAAAAATTTAATGAATGTGAATGCCTGTCATGTACCAGACATTGTGCTAAGACTTGGGAGTACAATGATAAACCCAGAGTTCTCAGCCAAAATGATGAGTGCTATAGCAGAGGTAAGCATGCAGTGCTAGAGGAACATAAACAGAAAACAATTATCATAGGATGCAAGCACAGTGAAGTGGCCCATTTCTTTTCAGCTTCCTGTACCAGAAAAACCTAAAGACTTTTTCAGTCTGTTATATTCTATTAACTTCGAACAGAAATCTCTCAACAAGCATTTGATGGCAGGAAATGAATTCAGGAACAAATAGCAAAAATAAATGTTCTGGAATGGGGAAGCTCAGGGTATATTTGAAGAAATCAAGCAGTCCCATTTGGACAGAATATGTCCTTACCAATATACAGCATTGGAAAGGTCAGCTGAACTAAATTATGAAGTCTTGAAGGCTAGGCTATGAAATTTGGGGTTTATTCTGCAGGAAAAGATGGAGTGAGGAAAAAGGTGCTGTGGGTGTTTTATTCCAATTGCAATGTGAAGACGAGCTACTGGGAGTAAGAGAACTGAGGAAGGGGTAGAAATCGTGTAGCAAAGACAGTAGTTCAGGCAGCTCCTTCCTACTTTTCTAATATCTTTTTTTAAAAATTTATTTATTATAGAGATGGGGGTCTCACCAAGTTGCCCAGGCTGGTCTCGAACCCGGGGTTCAGGAAATCCTCTCACCTCAACCTCCCAAAGTGCTGGGATTATAGTGTAAGCCACCGTGCCTGGCCACTTTTCTAATACCTTAGCAACTAACAAAAGTGATCTAGCATAGAGCAAGCTGAGATATTAGTTCCAAATAATACTTGAAACCTAAAACATACAGTTGCTCAATACACAATACAAATATCAAAAAGATGCACACATAAATTTTGATAGGTACTACAATAGCCTTTTCAGACCAAATTTTGTGATTAATAATGGAAACAAGTCTTAATGGATAAAAGATCATCTCTTAAACTGTAAACTTAGCTGGTGCCTGTCTTCTCTCTAGAACTGACAGTCTCTAACTTCCTTTGGTGACATTCAATGAACCTCAGAGACAGACATAAAGAAGAACAGTATTCTATAACTGAGAAAAATTGTATCTGTAAAGCCAGACTTCATCAGGAGCTGGGGCTCAGACAATAGAGTGAGTTAAATATCTTAATTATGGGTAGACCAGCTATGGCAGAATTCAGAGGAAAGCACAGACTCCATTATATACTTAATGTGTGACCCTTTCCCTTTTAACTTGGTCTTCTAGCAGAAACATTTCATCTTATTATGGATTCAATGTTGGAGAAATAACACGGCAGTGAATGTGGGGTACATGTACTATAAAATCCCCGTTTGTCATTAACTTCCAATTATCTATGAAACTTATTTCTGTTACAATGAAACCTCTATTCAGCAAAATCCAGTATCCCTTTTCTAAGCGTCTGCCTAACTATAAATCAAAGCCTGTGCATTATTTTATAGCTTGTTGGTCTCATCATGTTCAACATTTCGTTCTCACTGTTGGGGTTCATGTCTTGACAAGCAATAAATTTAAGGAGCTCCATATGATGCATATATTATCAATAATAACCATAAAGATAAATATGATTGTGTTTTTTCCTCAATCCCCAATTCAGGAAATGAAGGAGCATCACACAATGGGAAGTTTTAAAAAAATTTTTTAAGATTCTATTTAGGGAATCAGACAAATCTGAAAATAAATGCAAATGTTCTTCTGTTTTTCCTTCTTTTATTGTAAAGATGTGGGGTACAAGTCAGGATTAGGTATGTAAGTAGTCTGTGTGCAGGTGAAGTTTGGTCCTCACTTCCCCTGGTTTAGGATCAGATACTCTTAGTGATGTTATGCCCCTCCCACACGGTGTCCCGCTATAAATGGAAATATTCACCAGCTGTTTAAAGGTATTTAACTGTAAGAGCTTCTGCAAGATCTCGCCTTCTCTGCCTCTCAACATACTGACTTTTTGGAATCTGGTCGCTATGCTATCTACCAATCTAAGATCAGAACAGTTGGCTTGCTCATATAAGAATTCTTTGTGCATCTTACCACATGGCTACATAGAAATTGGTAGACAGACTGGGCTTGGTGGCTCAGCCTGTAATCCCAGCACTTTGGGAGGCCAAGGTGAGTGGATTGCCTGAGCCCGCAGGTTCGAGACCCGCCCGGGCAACTTGGCGAGACCTCATCTCTACAATAAATAAAAAAACTAGCCAGGCGTAGTAGTGCGCACCTGTAGTTGCAGTTACTTGGAAGGCTGAGGCAGAAGGATCGCCAGAGCCCAGCAGGCCGAGGCTGCGGTGGCTGGGAGCATGCCACTGCACTCCAGTCTGCGCAACAGAGTGAGACTCCAACTCAAAAAAAGAAAAAAAAAAAGAAATTGGTAGACAAAATATTCTGACACAGCACACAGCTTTTACAACCTAGTGGTCACCAGTAATTTGATATCTTATCCAGGAACACTAAACTTTAAGTTCTTTTTGGAGCCTACTGATCCCTGGCTAGCTCTCTGTCAAGCAGTAACCTTATACTATGGAAATGGAGGAGCTTTGCCATGAACACCTTTGCATTACCTGCCTCCTTCTCAGTTTCTGATTCAGAGGCTTCATCTTCACCTTCCTCCTCCTCTGAGCTGGAGCTGCTAGATTCCTTATTTTCTTCCTCCATTTCTTGGGACTTGGGTGTCTCCTCCTCATAGAGCATCTTTTCTTTGCTGAATTAAAGATGACAATTTGAATGTAATTCATTAGTGACAAATCATTTAAGTTTGCTGACAATCAGCTGTAAAAAAGGGAACAAATCTATAAACCTTTATGTAGCAGCAATAACAGAAACATATTCAAATCCTTCTTTACATCTGCTTATTCTTCCAAACTCTTGGTTTTTGCAGACTAAGGTATAGTATTTGAGTTGAGAGTATGACTCAAGGAAATCTGGCCTGTTTGACATACAGAAAAAAGAGGAGCTATGAATTTTGATGATGGCAGATATTTTTAAAAATCATTTAACAAGCATTTACTGAGTACTTGTTACATGCCAGGAGTCATGCTATGCATTGGTTCAGTCATAAATAAAACAGGCATGGTTCCTGAGTTCATGAAACTTACAGTAAAATAAAGGGAAAAGTTAGCCAGGTACAATTGCTCATGCCTATAATTCCAGCAGTTTGGGAGGCCAACGTGAGAGGACTGCCTGAGTCCACGGGTTCGAGACCAGACTGGGCAACTTGGCGAGACCTCATCTCTACAGTAAATCAATAAAAATTAGTTAGGCATGATGGCGCATGCCTGTAGCTCCAGTTGCTTAAAATGTTGAGGTGGAAGGATCACCTGAGCCCAGCAGGTTGAGGCTGCAGTGGCGGTGAGCGTTGCACTGCACTCTAGCCTGGGCAACACAGCAAGACTCTGACTCAAATAAGTAAAAAAACAAATAAAGGGAAAAGTTAAGACTACGAACCCATATGCTAGGATTTCTTTTAAGCCTGCATACAGTCTCAATTAATTTCGAAATTTAAAACACGCTGACCCATCCTCAGTGTCTCCCTCATATATCAATGCTACTTCCTTGCTCCACAAACTTCCCCATTATGTTTACAGACCATTTGGCTAAAGTCAAATACAGAGTTTCTGCACCATATAAATTCTAAAGCTAAGTATGTTACCCACACACAGCAAAGCTAATTCCATTCCTCAAGTCTAAATGTCTTACTTCTTAAAGAGTCCACTCTGCAACTTGCTATTCAGGTCTGACTCAATAAGTTTATTTCGTGTCTCCTTTTCACTTCGAAGCTGGAAATGGAGAAAACAGAGAAAAGAGATGTTGACAACTGGTTAAAAGTCAGTAGTATTGAAAAGAACCAAAATGGTACTGTCATTCTGAAGAAGATAGGACCAATACCAAAGAGGGAGGTCTAAACTGAGAAAAAGAGAAACACATCAGTTGGGTCACCTTAGAAGATGAAATATAAAAATTCTCATCCAAGGTAGAAGAGAAAAACCATGTTGTTAAGAGTTTTAGTAAAACTGCTTCTATCAAATATCCAAACCCAATCTTTAAAAAAAGCTTAGCTTCTGAAGAATAGAAAGTCAGAAGGAACCTGAAAGAATTCTTTATGATCCATATACTGAAATAAGTTGGCAACAGTGCTAAAGAAAACACAGGGACCAAATGGGAAATAAGCCCTCAGACGTATGCTCTCGACAAAATGTATTTACATTCCTGGAATTCAAAGTTATTTGAGGGACAAAGATAAGTAACATTCCCATTAGTGTGGAGATGTTAACTAGTGAATGATATCATTGATGGTCAAAAATCTAGCTACACTCTTCACTGTACATTGGGTGGGCTTTCTATCTGCAGTCTGTACTTGAGTACTATGCTTATATAGTTCTCCTGTATAGCACTGAGCCAAATGGCATGTACAACCAAACAACAAAAGATTTAAAATGAGGAACAGAAAAAGAATTCTGGATGTTTCATTAATCTAGAATACGTATGAATCATTGTCTAGGTAATCTCAAATGGCAAATGACAGTTTTAGGTTTGTGTGTTTCCTTGTTTTTTAACAAAGAAATCAGCTGGTCATGATGGCTCACACCTTTAATCCCAGCACTTTGGGAGGCTCTGAGGAGAGAGGAATGCCTGAGCTCAGGGGTTCAAGACTAGCCAGGGCAACAAGGCAAGATATGGTCTCTACATAAATCAAAAAATTAGCCGGGCAAGATGGCACACGCCTGTAGTTCCAGCTACTTGGAAGGTTGAAACGGAAGGATCGCCTGAGCCCAGCAGGTCGAGGCTGCGGTAGCTGTGAGCATGCCACTGCACTCCAATCTGGGTGACATAGTGAGACTCCAACTAAAAAAAAAGAGAAAGAAATGTATTCCTCTCTAAAATCAATATACTTAAATAAAAACAGCCTTTTAGTCAATAAGGAAAAAAATTTAAAAGCTATAAAGCATCCTCTACTTTAGTACTTCTTTGAGAAAAACTTTGAGGCCAGGCATAGTGGCTAATGTCGGTAGTTCTAGCATTTTGGCAAGTCAAGGCAGGAGAATTGCTTGAGCCCAGGAGTTCGAGAGCAGCATGGGTAGCATAGTAAGACCCTGTATCTTAAAAAAAACAAACTTTTGACTTGAACATACAACATTCATTTTCTAGAACTCAAGGGTAATTATTAGTTTTTTGTTGTTATTTTTAACTTTCAGCTCCTTGAAGCCTATCTTATAATGAACAAACTTGAACATAATGATTTCTGGAACATATTTTTCTTCTAACTGATAGTTTCTAGTTCCTGAAAGGAACAGTAACATCTCTGAAGTGCAGATATGTCCATTTCAGTTCTCAGAAGACATAACTAAAACAAACGACTGAGACACCTGGTGTGAACCACAAACTATCAGAAAAGTTTAATTTATTTTATTTATTTATTTATTTATTTATTTAAAATTGAGGAGTACCAGAAAAGCTTTAAAAACATCAACCAGAGACTCACCACATTCTGCTTCTTCTGGAGCATCTCTAAGTGCTCCACAAGGCCCTCATCAGCCACATCGAATGGTGTCTGGCCCTGGTAGAAAAGAAGGGCACCATGACTGATAGAAAACAGAAGTAACAATCATGTGACTTCATTTTATCAGGGAACAATTCAAGATTTACTTGTTGCCTTTGATTTCAATAATAGCTTGTTCCCTAACTAATAAACTGTACATTGTGATAACATTTTCATCTACAACAGAGAAAACATGAAAAACAGCAAATCCTTTAAATAAAGAGTTTTTAAAACAGTATTGAGGAAATCATACCATTTCTGATTCTTATTGCCTCTTGGCAAACAATCAAGTGAAATCCCTAATTGAACCTATTCTAAAACGGTCTTAATTACTATGATAAATTCCAGGAGCTCAGAGGGACACCCAGGGCACATGTGTTCTAATGATTAAGTCACAGGAATCATCCCCCTTTAAATGAGAGGAGGGACTATGAGGAGGTTATCTCTTTTAGGAAACATCAGCATAATTCAGAACCCTGACCCATAGTGTGACAATGAAACCCGGGTTCAGGAGAGATGTGAGGCAGATAAGACTATCTATTATTGAAAAGTCATGTCTCTGGATTCCTAGAAAATCAGTAGACAAAGGAATAGGAGTTCCAGAGCTTCTAAGTTGTTTTAAGTGAGGCTGCATATCACTATTTTCAGCCGAACTCAAGGATCTTTGTCATTATAACATTTTTAAATGACTTGATGTGAATAGAGGTCATCTATTAAAAAGACTTTGAATTAAAAAATTACAAAATCTGGCCAGGAATGGTGGCTCATGCCTGTAATCCCAGCATTTTGGGAGGTTGGGGCAGGAGGATTGCTTGAGCCCAGGAATTTGAGACCAGACTGGGCAATACAGCAAGACCTCATCTCTACAAGAAAAAAAAAATTTAAAAAGTAGCCAGGTGTGGTGGTGTGCACCTGTAGTCTCAGCAACACAGGAGGCTAAGGTGGAAGAATTACCTGAACCCAGGAGGTAGAGGCTGCGGTAAGCCATGATTATGCCACAGTACTCCAGCCTGGGTGAGACTTCAACTCAAAAATAACAATAATAATAATAATAACATCTTTCATACCTCCACATATAGTGAGTGACCTTAGGCTCCCACAAAACTCGTATTTTGCCAAGGGCAAATATATTCTTCCTGTTTGTTTTAGGGGCTTGAACATAAATAGAATCAGAGACTAGGTCAGTGGAGTTTTATATAGCAGATATATAGCTGTGCTGATAATGGGGGCAGGGGAAGGGAGGTGGAGGGCAACACCATAGATACCAGTGATACATACTTTTCCCAGAGACGTCAGCCAGCCTAACAGAGATTTGAAGCCTTTTATTCTAGAGACCCAGCCACCAATCGCATTGCTCTTTTAGAGGTTCAGGTTCACTAACCAGTTTATTTCGAATATCCATGTCACAGAGTGCTTCTGCCAGGATGGAGCAAGCCTCCTTCACTCCCCAATGTGCAGCAGCATGGAGGGGAGTCCAGCCATCATGATCCTGAACATTGAGTTCATATCCAGCCTGAATTAAAAGTCTAAGCAGAAAATCCCAAACAAGACATTTATTTCCTCTACATTATAGTTTTCTGCCAAATAAGCTATTGCCTAATTGATACTGCAAATTTGGGGCCTGAACCACAGGGATCTTGTGCTTTAGGCACAGCTCGGATTTCACAGTTACTACTTTGAGCATCAATCATACATGTCTTTACCAATCCTTTCAAAAAAATCATATGGTATTACCTAAGCACGTCCATCTTACACTACACAGGGTGAGTGTATGGAAAGGTGTGTAACTGAGATTAACCAAAGTCTAATTCAATTAGCCAATCACACAACTATGCTAAAGGTGTGTTTTCCATTTTTTAGTGCAGAGAGGAAGTAACATACAAAATGAGGACTCAATTCCCTTCAAGGTATTTACCAAATAGCTTTCTGGTTGGTCTTTCTAAGACACCATATGTTTATTGTAGACTCTTACACTTCTAACTTCTTGCTAACTATAAAGCTATAATCTAACTTCTGTGCATGAAAGAGAACAGATCTGACTCCTGAAGTTACAGACTGCATTGGGACCTATATCATAGGCCTCCAGGCACCTTCCAAGGATTCAGCAGACTATGGATGTCACTGTCAGACAGAAATAAAGTGCCAAGATCCTGCCATATCTACTAGAAACCCCATATTAGGTAGAATATGAAGCACTGGAAGAGTCCAGCAACAACTGCACGTAAAATGTCAGCAACCCACGTATTTGGGAAAACCTATCAACATTAAGCACCAAGAGCAACATAAAGAATGTATGGATGTAAGAAAAAATAGAACAGGTAGAGCAGTAGAGTCCAAATTCCTTATATAAGTTTGACTATCCTATGCTAGCTGGACACTGCACATTCAAAATCCATATAATTAATCTAATGATCCTAAAGAAATTTAGACAAAGAGTACCAAAATGATCACAAAGTCTGTCCTATATTTCAGGTCTCAAGAAGAGGTAGTTGCAGGGATATTAATGACAAATCATAGAGCTGGAAAAGCTCTTGAAAGGTTACCTCCTAGGCCAGTGTACTTCAAATCTGTTTTATAATGTATGTGTCAGTGAGAAGCCAAAGAATAGTAAGAGGGAGGGAGACTGTCCACTCATACCAGCAAAATGTGAGAAAAGGCTCCACGATCAGAGAGGAAACCAACAAAGGAAACACACTAAAAAGTTCACACTCTGCTTCCAAAACCCACCTCATCTTCTCCCAATCAACCACTACTGATTGATGTAAATGGACAATACCTGAGGACTTCAGAGTAGCCCTTGGCAGCAGCCACATGGAGTGCTGTGGCCCCTGAGCGAGGCTGTCTCACATCCTCTATTTTCCCACTGTTAAGCCACTGGCGGGCATCCTGCAACATCTGCTGCTCTTCTTCTTTTCTTGACTGCTCTAGATCGACTCCTACAGTAACCAGGTACAGAGAGCTAGCATTACTAAAACTCCACTTAAGTTTGACAGGATATTTCCCTTAGATTCAAAACACATCATAAATATAACCACAAATAACAGTTTAGTCATCAAGTGGGATAATCATCAAATTTAGAAGATCAATGGCATTTGTATACACACTAGGGGTCTTACCAGGGTCAAGTCATCAGGTTAAGCATTATGTGATACACAACCATTAAGGAAACACACACACCTAAAATTGTTTAAAATAGAACATAAATACAAGTGGGACATTATTTTTACATTCTAGTAATTTATACAAAGCTATAAACTTCAAAGTCTTTTTACATGTTATATGATTTTGCTTTCTCAATAGTACCTTAAGGTAAGTATACTAGATATCAGTACTCCCATATAACAAATGAAGAAATAAATACAGAAAGGTTAAGTGTCTTGTTCAAAGTCACAAAACACATTGTGACTAGATGCCACTAGAACTCTTATATCTTGGGTCCCTATCTGTTGTTCTTTTCCTCTCACTACATCATAGGGTTGGTATCAAAACTTGTGGTTCCAGGTATGACATGAGATACACTAAAAAAAAATCACCTCTAATGTTCATTTCCATATATAGGTAACTACACTGACCTGAAGCTATATAATCTACAGCAAATGAGTAGAGCATCTGCAGTTTAAAAATCTGGGTGCTCAAGGGTACCTGTATAATGAATATTTGTATACCTAACCCTAAATGATACCCCACATATTTAAAATAAAAAAAAATGTTTTTAATCTGTGTGTTTTCAAAGGAATGTAGATTTTGTTTCCCTTATAAACATTATGGAAGAACTCCAAGAGTTCTTTCTGTTAGCCAAAAACTCTCTAATGTCTGTTCCGGTGAAGAAGGGCTAAAGTGGGGCATCTCCCATTACATAAAATAATGAAATGTCCCAAATACAGACATACCCATCAAAAATTTTACACCCATTAGCAGTGACTATCTGTGCTTGGTCTGCTCCCTTTCAGGTCTTAAATGAGAACAGCCTGTAAACTACCTAAGGCTTATTATCTGTTTGATTTGGAGAGACAGGTGGGGTGAAGAGGTAGCCAACTTAGATCAGAACTCCAAACACAAAGAATTGTTAGCAGTGCTGCAAAAGTTAAGGATATATATGAATACTTCTTCCAACAGAGCATGCTCCTTAACTGAAGAGCCAGCAATCAAAATAATTCAGTAGGGCATAAAACAAGCAGTTAACTGACCTAGAACATTATTACATTAAGGTAGGGTTGGCGCACTTTCTATAAAAGGTCAAATATTAGATATTTTCAAGTTTACAGTTCACCCAGTCTATCATAACTATTCAACTATGCTGCTGAAGCACAAAAAACAGTTTTGAATAATATGAAAACAATAGGCATTATAAGATTTGGCAGCCAGGCTTGGTGGCTCAGCCTGTAATCCCGCACTTTGGGAGGCTGAAGTGAGTGGATTGTCTGAGCCCACGGGTTCGAGACCCACCTGGGCAACTTGGTGAGACCTCATCTCTACAATAAATCAAAAATTCAGCCGGGTATGGTAGCATGCGCCTATAGTTCCAGCTATTTGGAAGGCTGATGCGGAAGGATCGCCAGAGTCCAGCAGGTCAAAGCTGCGGTGGCCAGGAGTGTGCCACTGCACTCCAGTCTGGGTGACAGAGTGAGACTCCAACTCAAAAAAAAAAAAAAAAAAGATTTGGCACGGCCTTTTCTAAAAGTTCATATTGGGAAAGGCCACTGGAGTTAAATCCTTTGGGATGAACTGCAGACTGTAAGGTAGTTTAGCAAAAAGACTAAAAACAATCATTACAAATCTTGTCCATGGAGTTTTGTTATGAAAAAAGAACCCAGGGACTTCTAGCAGGAGAATTCCATCTTAGTCTGTGAAATGACTTCACAGCATAGTTCTAAAACTTCAGCAGCATAGTTCTAAAACTATAACATAAGAATAAGAATTTTTGGAGCATACTCTTCTATGTTACCTTAACAAAAAATCAGAATAATTTTCATAGTATGATTAAAGATCATTTCAGAGGTTACAATAAATATCTTTACTAGCGCCACTTTTAGCTCTCATCAAGGGAAAAGATGCAAAATCACAAAGTAAATTTGGTCAACACTCAAATTTACACTGTATCTCATTCTTTCTTTGGACTCCACAATGTATAGCAAAATTCAATATCATGGCTCTGCACGGTGGCTCAAGCCTGTAATCCAAGCACTTTGAGAGGCCGAGGTGAGAACCTGAGCCCAGAGGTTGAAGATCAGCTGGGCAACTTAGTGAGACCTTGTGACTACAATAAATAAAAAACTTAGCCAGGCGTGGTGGCATGCACCTTTAGCTCCAGCTACTTGGAAGGCTGAAGCGGGAGGATCACCTGAGCTCAGTACGTGGAGGCTGAGGTGGCCATGAGCATGCCACTGTACTCCAGCCTGGGCGATAGCATGAGACTCCAACTAAAAAAAAAAAAAAAAAAAAAAATCCAATACCATGCATACACACAGCAAGAAATGTTCATGCTCCTCATTAAGTCAACCCTAAACTACATGATGCGTATACAACCTCTAATTGGCAAAAATAAGAAATGACTGGTCATCCTCTTGACATTTGGTCTATTTTTGTGGGAGTTATTAAGAGGATGGATTATGTTGATAATTGGTAATTAATGCTGTGCAGACAAATCTAATCCTCTCCTGTCATATGATAATGAAAAGCTCTACACAGCAAATGGATTATTTTCTGTAAGTGGCAGTGTTTGAGGATCTCTCCTGGCCCTCACCAATTTACTAGGTTACCTTGTTTCTTTACTTGCTCCAGCAGAAGATCCTTCATTGCTGGCTCTTCTGCAAGGTCAGAGGGGACTTCACCTTCGCTATTGACAATACCCACACTGGCTCCGTGATTAATGAAATACCTGTGAAACAAGACCCAGAAACAGTATTATCTCTGTCAATCTAATATCAATTTATTCTCATGCATCTACAGCAAAGCCTCTATTTGAGGTTTTAAATATGGTCCCAAATAAGGTGTTCCATTACTAATTTCTAGCCACATTAGGCTTCATTAATTAGGACTGACAGGTTGCCCATTTCCTGACTAGAGCAATGCTAACAAACAGGATTTCTTTCACATTCACATTACTAACTCCCACCCTCTCTCTCACTCCCAGTGGATAGCAAGAAACTTTCTAAATACTACAAGGAAGGAATGCAGCCTTAAAACTCACTCACCATCCCTGAGGTCCAAGCACAGGTTTCCAAAAGGACTTACTGTACTTGTAATATCAAGACTGAGAAAGTCTCCAGAAAATATGTAAAGAAGTAACTCTCACAAAAACCTTTCCAATGCCACACTGGAGTTTATTAAGCAGTGTTGTGCATATGAAAATAGAAGAATAAAGCATGCACTAAAATTTGCATGAATCAGCCGGGGGTGGTGGCTCATGTCTGTATTCTCAACACTTTGGGAGGCAGAGGCGAGAGGACTGCCTGAGTCCAAGGGTTCTAGACCAGCCTGGGCAGCTTAGTGAGATCTCATCTCTACAATAAATCAAAAAATTATCCAGGCGTGGTTCCAGCTACTTGGAAGGCTGAGGTGAAAAGATTACCCGAGCCCAGCAGGTCGAGCCTGCAGTGGCCATGAGAGTGCCACAATACTCCAGCCTGCAGCCTGGGTGACAGAGTGAGACTCCAACTCAAAAAAATAAGGAAATAAATGAAATAAAATTTGCATGAATCCACCTAAATTATACCTCCACAAAACTCTCCTATCAACCAGCCTATAAACATGAAATCCTCCTCTACTCTAAGAGGAAACTAAATTACTGGAGAAAAAATATTATGAACATTATTAAGTAAGCAATGTTGATATTATTTCCACCACTTTAAGAAATTGAGGTTCACATATGTTAAGTAATCTCAGAATCACACAGCTGGCAATGGCAAAGGGAATGACCCCAGTCTTTTGACTTCAAGTCTAGTTTATCTTTTCTCTAGATCAAGCTTCTTTTGGACCAGTGAGAACCCCAACAATGCTGGGAGATCCATGAAATACTTAGAAGTATTTAAAGGAGAGAGAAAAACTATTAATATTGGGCCAGTCTCAGTGGCTCAGCCTGTAATCCCAGCACTTTGGGAGGCCAAGGTAAGTGGATTGCCTGAATCCACAGGTTCGAGACCAGCCCCAACAACTTGGTGAGACCTCGTCTCTACTATAAATCAAAAACTTAGCCGGATGTGGAAGTGTGCGCCTGTGGTTCTGGTTATTTGGAAGGCTGAGGTGGAAGGATCGCTGGAGCCCAACTGGTCAACAATGGGGTGGCTGTGAGTGTGCCACTGCACTCCAGTCTAGGCGACAGAGTGAGACTCCAACTCAAAAAAAGAAAAAGAAAAACTATTAAAATTTGATTTCTGTCCATTCAACAATTCAATAAATATTTATTAGTCCCCTACTATGTTCAAGGAACCACATTTTAGACATGTTGAAGATTTTTTAAAAAGATAATCAATTTATGGCCACTGTATTCCAAGAGTTGGCAGAGAAAAAAGAATCAATAAAGATTAGATTAAGATCATGTTTTTGCTTTCTCAATGCCTAGTACCTGAATAAATGCTTGTTAATTTATAGATCAATTCCACATGTATTAAGCTCAAAACATTCACAATTTCTCTAATTTTCAACCACCTCTTTCCTCCCCTCATAGTCTCAGGTCAAGATAGACCTTATTCAACCCCAAAGCTAACTCCCTCTCTCTGTATTCTTAATTCTATCAGGTCCCAGTATTCTGTCCATCAATTATTCCTTTATTTCCACATATTCAGTAGCTCTGCTCTTCTAATTTCTCTCCCTAGGCCAAAGAAAAACTCAACTACTCCCCCAACACTGAAAAATCAAAAAGCAAACAGTATACAAAGTTAGCACGCAATAACATTTGTTGGATTGAATTGTACCCTATACTCTGTGAGCAAACTAAACCATTTACTGTTCCCAAGCACATCTCACTTTCACCTAGCTCTCTTTGACAGCTCATGTTGTTTCTTCCAACTAGATGGAACACTCTCCCTCTCTCTTCCCTTGTGGAAACCTTTCACATTGTTCAAGGTTCATTTAAAGTGCTTTTGTCTTCATGAAACCTTTGTCTGTTCTCACCAATTGATTTCTTTCTTTCCTTCCTTCAACTCCATTCCCCCTCTTCTCCTCCCCTACAAACACTAACTCTGGGACCTATGTCATAACTCACATTGCACTTTGATGCAATCACTCCATCAGACTGAAAGCGACTTGAAGGCAACAACTAGGTCTGCCTCACTATTATCATTGCCACTGATAATATCACTGCCATAGCAACTGACACTTTTTCTTATAGCATTCTATAAACATTGCTTGAATTATAGGAAGCATCTTAATCATTTTGCTCTGAGATCTATTTCATCCCTTATTGGATCAGGCACAATGTCACTCAGATATAAAGACTACTGCTTTTCCCTTTTCTGGTGTGTTCTTGGGCCCACAAACAAGAAGATGCATTTCAGCCAGGCAGGGGGGCTCATTCCTGTAATTCCAGCACTTTGTGAGGCAAAGGTAGAGGATTGCCTGAGCTCAGGGATTTGAGAACAGTCTAGGCAATTTGGTGAGACCTTGTCTCTAAAATAAATTAAAAAAATAGCCAGGTATGGTGGCGCATGCCTTTAGTTCTATTGAAAGGTTGAGGCAGAAGAATTGCTTGAGCCCAGCAGATTGAGGCTGCAGTAACCATGAGCATGCCACTGCACTCCAGACTGGGTGACAGAGAGAGACTCCGACTCAAAAAAAGAACAACAGGCATTTCTAGAAAATAACTTGAGTCTCCATTTTTCCATTCTCTTCAGTTTTAGAAAAAAAAACTCTTTAGTTTAACTTTTACCTGAACAAGAGTAAATATCAACCTATAAAGTAATTTCTACTTTATCTCAAAGAATGCTAATAGCTGACAGAGGTTCAGAAATAGCCATTAGCTCAATAAATATGCCCTTAGAAAATAAAGCCTTCCTTTCCTTCCTAACTCATCACTGATACAGGGTCTTTTTGCTACTGTTGTGAGGCAGAAAGGAAATAAAATGTGCTCAAAAACTCAGGATAAATAAGAATCTTAATAAACCATAGAGCAAACTAAATGCTGTACCTTTGGATCAATCTGCTGCTTTAAGCTAAACAGTTATTCATAATAAAAATGTAAAAATATCTAGCTAGCTAGCATTAAGCCTGAACTCATTTTAAAATGAGGAAAAAACAGCTCTAAACCTCCCGTTTTTTGATATACCTTACTGAATTCAAATATAAGACAAAAGAGATCATCATTTAATGAAACAATTACTTGGCTTCTTCCTAGAAAGCCAGTTTCCTTTATTCATTTCTACACCCTTGACAGTTAGAAGTTCCTAATGATTCTGGGAATAAGAATGTAAAGTGTAAAATCTTCAAGGTACCAAAAGAAAAATTATGAGATGACCAAGGCCTGGTCTTATTTAAAATATTCCTCATCAGTCCTGAGGTAAAGCAACCAAAATGTATAATAGAAACAATGGAGTTCTCTTCCACTGTATAAAAACAATGCTATATATTGCAAATAAATAAATGATAGTAAAGTCCTGCCTAATAACAATATGCATAATGGAAGATAAACATTTACCATGCCTACCACTACTCCACCTTTGCAATGGATTCTAGTTTAGATATCTCTCTCACAGTCATTCTTTCATGTCTAATTTGTTATAATTTATATGAAGAAATAGTAACTCTCACAGATTTATTTCATTCAAGGTAATATTGTTTGCACTAGAGATTGTTACATTTCGAACTGGCTTCCAAAAAAACTATGTTTATCCATAAAGATGAATTAAAGAAATCATTGTAAAAAAACAATTGCAAACATTCTCTGTAGTTAGCTTCACAACAGGCAGACAATGCCAACACAACTGGTCCTAATTCTAAGCATGAGCTCTCCTTAGAAAAGTGTGGGAAATAACTTCGGAAAAAACTCAGGGAATCCTTGAATGTAATGAGATTTGGTAGCTCAAATATCACATACATGCCTCCTGAACAAATAATCAAATATCAGTGAGGGACCAACATGTTCTATAAATGTTTCTGAAATAAATGTTTTAGGTAAAATCATCTTAACTCTTAGACATCAAAATGTTGGCATTACTGGATAAGAGTGAGAATAAGAGCCCTTCCCCGAAAAGGAGCAGCTAGGGGATGAAGAGGTGACTTACTTTTACTAAAATAGAACAGAGTAAGAAACTAAGAGTGAAGAAAACTGCATTGTTTATTTTTGTTGGCTTTGGGGCCAATCCAGTCATTCACTTTTTAGGACAAGCAGCCCAGTCAAACACCACTGCTGCCGAATGTTTCTCTGGCTCTGACTCTCCCATTGTTTAACTTCTCCCACTGAGTATCCCTGGTTGAGCAGCAAACCCAGCAACTCAGGCTCTCCCTCAGGAAAACTGGGCAAATCAGAGCCTGTGGGAAGACATCCTTAGGCCTCTACATAGCTGCCAATATAATTCTCCCTGCAGTTTGCTGAATAAGAGAATTGTAATGGTGCTCTAATCATATAATTGAAAGGAGCCTTCAAACAAGCAATCTGATTTTTAAGGACCATAGAATAAATATCATGATTTTATTTAGGGAAATTACCTTCTCAAGCTAAATTTACCCTCACCTAAAATACACTCGATTACCTATTTACAGGTGTTTCAGATGCTAAAATCTCTTTCATATTTAAAATAACCTCCCTGGCCGGGCTCGGTGGCTCAGCCTGTAATCCCAGAGCTTTGGGAGGCTGAGGTGAGTGGATTGCCTGAGCCTACGGGTTTGAGATCCGCCTGGGCAACTTGGCGAGACCTCATCTCTACAACAAATCAAAAATTAGCCGGGCGTGGTAGCGCATGCCTATAGTTCCAGCTACTTGGAAGGCTGAGGCGGAAGGATCAACGAAGCCTAGCAGGTCGAGGCTGCGGTAGCCGGGAGCGGCCACTGCACTCCGGTCTGGGCGACAGAGTGAGACTCCAACTCAAAAAAACAAACAAACAAAAAAACCTCCCTTTCTTTCTCAAAAGGAGATCTGGAAAAATAAAAATAAATACCAAAAAAATAATAACCCCTCCAATCATTTATTAAGATAACAGGTATTTATTTAGTGCCCCTTACATTCCAGGTACTATGGGGTCAGGATTCTTCTGCCCAAGAGAAGGGCAACTAGTTATCACAGAGACTAGTAACTATTAATGTGTCTTATTAAACATTCCCATTCAACTAGTGGAGAACATATGTCAATCCCTATCCTTCCTTTGTTCCACAATGTTTAGGCTCATTCGTCTACTATTAACTACATGAGTGTTGTGATCAGTATGCCAGACATTTTTTACCTTCATTTATACTAAGCACTGATTAAAAAAAAAAAAAAAAATACAATAAGACAGCCAGGCAAAGTGGCTCACATCTGTATTCCCAGCACTTTGGGAGGCGGAGGCAAGAGGACTACCTGAGTCCAGGGGTTGGAGACCAGTCCAGGCAACTTAGAGAGAACTCATCTCTATAATAAGTCAAAAACTTAGCCAAGCACAGTGGCACACGCCTGTAGTTACCGCTATGTGGAAGGCTGAGGCAGAAGGATCACCTGAGCCCAACAGGCTGAAGCTGCAGTAGCTGTGATCATGCCACACTGCACACCAGCCTGAGCAACAGAGTGAGACTCCGACTCAAAAAACAAAACAAAACAACAAAACAGATTTCCAAAGTCCAGAAAAAATCTCCAGGCCTGACTATGTATGTGCCCAGCTACAGCTATTCAGAAGGTGAATCCAGAGAGTACAACAGACAGAAGTCACCACTGGATATCCCAGCAAATATAAATTACCTGAAAAGAGAAGAAAACAAAAGTTTTCAACTAAAAAAACTATGGATTTAGCAGCTATATAAAACACTGTTATCAGTTATTCCTTAAAAATAATATAACTTCCTGCTTTTGTAATCTGATAGAGAGAGATGATAACTAGTCATGAAATTCAGATTCTTAAGAGCAGAGACAAGATGAAGGCTATTCTTACAAATACTCCAAAACCCACACAGAGACTCACTCACTCTGCTATGTTGAGATAGCCACAGGAAGCTGCTGCATGAAGGGGCGTCCACCCCTCATTGTCTTGCTGGTTTACATTGGCTCTGTTCTCCACCAGAAACTTCACCATGTCCAAATTTTCATCAATACAGGCCTGAAAGAAAAAGTCCATTCATTCATTCAATAAGTATTTGTTGAGTTCCACTAGGTGCCAGACACTGCTCTGGGCCTTAACAATGCCCAGTCATTCTAAAGATACATTAATTTCTATTACTTTCATACTTAAGTGTCCAGAACATAACTTCTAAGCTTTGCAATCTTATTCAAGCACCTTAATGTCTCTATGCTGCAATATCTCAGCTGTGAAACAAGCATAATGATATTTAATCTTATTTATAGTACTATTAGGATTAATTGTGTAAGTGATTTCTAAAATACTATAAATGGATGAGCTATTTCATCATTAAAAAAAGGAGAGCATGTTAGAAAACACTAATTTGCTTATGAATTTTAAAAGGAAATAATAACACAGGATCTGATGCAATTTTTCACAGTGAGAAGCTATAGTTTAAGACACTAGGATTACTAAACAATCCCTGCTTCAGTAAGAAAGGGTAGGATGATTAATTCAAACAGAAAAAATACATTTTCTTTTCTTTCTTTTTTTTTTTTTGAGTTGAAGTCTCACTCTGTCGCCCAGGCTGGAGTGCAGTGGCATGCTCATGGTCTCGCCAAGTTACCCAGGCTGCTCTTGAACCCGTGGACTCAGACAATCTTCTCACCTCAGCCTCCCAAAGTGCTGGGATTATAGGTGTGAGCCACTGCACCCGGCCTGTATTTTCTTTTCAAGTATTTTCGGAATGGCTTCAAACAATATGACAATGTATGTTTGTAGTTACAGATGATTAGGGATCCTTATCTGACCATTTCAAGGCAGCAATTAGGAAAAAGAAGAGAAGCTTTCTGAATAAAGGTTTTAGGCCTACCATATGGCTAAAAGAAACAGTCACAAACAACAGTGAGATCTGCAAAAGGCTACTGCACATAGCTACAGAACAAAGAGAAGGTCCACATTTGACAAAGGTAATCATTATCAAAGCTTACATAGTTCCAAAACAGTTGGGATAATTCAGGACAGAAACAAATGAAACCCCTTTTTAAAATTTGACTTTTTTTTAGCCGGGCTTGGTGGCTAAGTCTGTAATCCCGCGCCTTTGGGAAGCTGAGGTGAGTGGATTGCCTGAGCCCGCGGGCTCGAGACCTGCCTAGGCAGGCGAGACCTCATCTCTACAATAAATCAAAAAATTTGCCGGGCGTGGTAGTGCACACCTGTAGTTCCAGTTACTAGAAGGCTGAGGCGGAAGGATCGCCAGAGCCCAGCAGGTCGAGGCTGCAGTGGCCCGGAGCGGCCACTGCACTCCAGTCTGGATGATAGAGTGGGACTCCAACTCAAAAAAAGTAAAATAGAAAATAAACAAGGTAAACCTGTCACTCCAAAGAAAATAACTAGTATTTGTTGCAATGATAAAATTTGACTATTCAAGTGAAAATCTGAAATTTGGGAAAATATACCCAGAGATATTTTATGGTCATAAGAATAACTTTTTTTTTTAAAGATGTGGGGTACAATTCAAAATTAAATACACAAATGTTCATTATGCAGGTACTCTTGCTGATGAGGTGAGCAACTGTTTAAAGAACAAAAGTTTACTGTGAAAATAAAGTTAGAACTCCAGGGAACTTTTATAACTACAGGACTTAGTAGTCATACTTAGTATCATATCAAGAGAACTTAAAGGAACTCCTCCCTCCAGAGATAAACCTCATGTCAATTCCGCCTAGGGATAGGGGTACAAATGGAAAAAAGGCTGATTCCATTTAGGTGAAAATGTAATTAGGTAACACTGGTTACAAAAAGCATCTTTGTTAATTTTTCCCAAACTATTTAATTAGTCCTTTTACAATTACTGAGATTAGCTTAGCGTGTCAGCCTAGATTTAATTTGATACAATATAATATATTCCTCCAACCTAACCTTCTGAGGCAATCTGACTTTTATAGTGAGTATTTATAATGGTCTCTTTTTCAACAGCAGCCCCAGAAATTATGTTCCTTCTATGATGTTTTTTCCACAAGTATTCCTCATTTACTCTTTATTTCTTTACCAAGTAAGATATTTTATAGCTATTCATAATATTTTTAAATATTTCTTAATTATGTTTATCACTAAATTGGTCATACATTGTATGTCTGCCCATCTGCAATTCCATATGGCAAGGTCTAGCCAACTCATTGTCCAGTACCTCACTAAAAACTGTAAATAAAGATTTTTTTTTTTTTTTTTTTGAGTTGGAGTCTCACTATGTCACCCAGACTGGAGTGCAATGGCCGCCCC